CATCTTTAGTACATCAGGTAGTAAATGCTTATAAGACTTGCTCACATGTTTGATCTTTTTGAAATCTATCTTACAATATCTACAGTGGATAGCAATCTCAATGCCTAGGGGTATATACAACCAGCAGCATTTATATATGTTAATTGACTGAATAATTTTATGCAATTTGGGAGTTTATTTTCTTAGATGTTTACAAGTTTTAGGAGCATATGAAGGGCTCAAGTATGCTAAGGACAATAGGAAGTCATATTAAATGCTATGGAAACATTGGAGGAGAGAGAACAAGTAGAAGAGGAGACTTAAATAAAACTTCATGATGATGAAGATAGAGAACACTGAAGAAAGAATAACAGAAATAAGAGGATGAATAAAACAACTTACTGAATGCCTGTTTTGAACCAGTGCTAACCACTCAATGTGGTAAGACAAATAGCCCTTATTTTAGGAAGTGAAAAAAAACTAAAAGAAAATAAATGACAAACTATAATCAACACATACTGGCATAATTTAGGGCACATTGTTACACTGGTGGGTGCTGAAAAGAATTGGACATTGTTGTCATAAAACACACATTTCTCTTTCTATTTAACGCAAATGTGTTTTTCATATTCAAAAGCAGACAGTCTTCTTAAAAGTTACTCTTTTTATTGACCATATTCAGGTATACTAGGTAGGATAACGATTGTGTGGCACAAAGTCCAAAAAGCTGTTATAACCCTAGAAAAATTCACAGCTCTGTCATGTGAAAGTCTATTATACAGAGCTTCTGCTTCATAAAATCTCAGGGATTCAGGCTCTTTATATTTTGTTGCTTCTCTATTTTTAGAGATTTTTTGCCCTCTTCTTCATGACCCAAGATAGTTCAGAATATATCTGCATTTTCACCAGTGAGTGGGAAGAGGGTAAAGAAGAAGGAGTACCTTTTTCTTTGAAAGGGCATGACATCATGATGCACACATCATTTCTTGTATCCCATTGGCCAGAATTTAGTTATAAGGTCACAGCAGCTTAAGAAAGACTGGGAGATGGCCTTATTCTGAATGACCACAGAGATTGCTAAACTTGGCTTTAATTTTATTAGTATTAAAAAAAAGAAGAAAAAAATAAATAAGATAAATAAAAAAAACAAGATAAGAATAGATACTGGAGAATACCTAGCAACACTAAGGCACAAGGACAGACTTTTAGGTGGAGATACCTAATCTAGTCTCTATTGGTTTTTTATTATATTACATATTTCTTATTCTTTAAAAACTTTCACTACCAAATATCTTCTTGTTTATTTATTTGCTTTTTTATTTATGGAATATTTTTTCCCATTACAATGTAAACTCCAGGTGGGTACGGGTTTTTGTGTTTTGTTTATTGTCATGATGTCAATGTTTAGAAAAGTGCCTTGCATATAGAAGTTCAATGACCGTATGCTGATAAAAAGATGAACATGTTTCTCTTTCAAAACTTTGATCATTGGACTCATTAATAATTATTTTCATGAAAAGAGTGAAAATGTTCACTGTACTTAAACAAATATGAATAAGCATACAAATAAAATACATCATATTTTTAATAACTATAAAGGTCTATTTAATTGTGTATATTGTGCAAGGTTAAGGAACTTTTCATATAATTGTCTTTCCAATAACCAGCATCCTACATGTGTTTCTGATTCATTTCCTTCCAAACAAGCTGCCATGTCTGGTTAATGACAGACTTTTAGTGCTAAGCTCTAAGCTTAGCTGGATCAGATGATGAACACTATTCACTTTTCCTCTCCTTTCTTCTGTTGCCCAAATGCTTCAACCAATGGAAAGAAGGAACAGCCACAAGAAACAATACCAGACATGATTTCTACCCAGAAAAAAGGATCATTCCGTCTCAGAATTAGTTTGGTACATGTAAAAAAAATGGAATTTTGCTTACTTCGTGCCCTACTATATATGCATATATGCATGTTGTACACTACTTTCATCCTTTATGATCCATTAACTCTTTTATAATCTGGGAAGATAGATATGTCATTATTCCCATTTTACAGAGTACTCTGGGAGAATAAAATTGTCACAACAAATACAACTCAAATACCAAAACCAAGCCCATTTTCCATATTCTGTATACTCTATACAAATTTTCAACAGCAATATGACTCTTTCCTTAAGCCCCAGATTTAGTAGGTTGTTTTGAAATAGGGAAGATATGAAAAGCTTGATTACTTCTAATGTCCTTTAGCCAGGAAAGTGAGCACAGATATTGCTACCCCAAACACTTGTTTCAGAGTCCTAATAAAATACCTATAAGTGACCCAAGACCGAAGACTTGGGCCTCCTTGACTGGAAGTTCTCTCTTTAAGGCAAAGGTGTGTGCCTTGCACCGGTTCCTTATCTTATTACCTCGTGCTGTAGCGACTGTACAGTCGTGGCACATGTGACTCAAATTAGAGATAAGGAGTCAATGATATGTCCATAAAGTTTTTATTAGCAAAGCCCATCCCCCAGTCAACCCTTGGAAATTAAACCTGTTAGAAAAATATGTAGTTTTTAATGTCACTGTTGCTGTTATTGTTGCAGTATTTTCGTTTTCCCTTCCCTTTGCCTATCCTCTGTTCCTTAGCGGAAACCAAAGAAAAAAGGAAAGGTTTCAAAGTTGAAGGCTTTTCCACTGATCTGGAGAAAGTGAAAGTTCGATTATTTGTTAAATAATTTTTCGTCGATCCCTTAGTCCTGTAGCCGCTTCTTTATCACCGGTCCCTAGAAAGGGGCGGTTCTTAGGGGAAATGTTTGTTTTCGCTTTGCCGTGACTCAGAGAACTCGGGACCTCTGGAGAGGGAGGTAGGTGACCCGGCTGCCCGAACTGGGGCTGGAGCCCACCCCCTGCCCCTGAGGACTAGAACTCCACATTCTAACTCCCTTTCCCGAGTCCCCAGCTCGGTAGGGGCTTCTTCGATCTGCAAGCCCCAGCGGTGGGGATTTATTCCTGATGTGTGATCCCCGGGGGTTTCCACAGGTTTGGAAGTTTAGGGGGAATCCCGTGGGGGCTGAAGAGGGGCCTTAGCCACCTCCTAATCTCAAGCCCCCTCTTCCTGCTTTCCATCTCTTTTGCTTGACTTTTTTTCCTCTCTTTCCTTGTTTGGACAATTGATGTTTTCTCAATTTGAGATTCGTTTATGCTGCGGAAATGCGGCTGTAAATCTCCAACCACCCCAGTCAGTCGCAGTCCCAAAGTCGTCCTATGTGGAAATGTGAGAGACTGACGCAGTTTCTTCTGTGCATACGTGGACACTGAACTTCTACGACTGAAAATGGAAAGATTAAATTACTCTCTGATTCTATCCAAGCCTCATTGCGCACCTCAGATCTCCTTGGCCGAATCCCAGATCCTCCACTTCTCCCCTGCAACAGTCTGCTGGGTGTGGCCGGCTGCTCCACCCAGCTCTTTCCACTTCCTCTTGCTGCCCAGCGGCTGGCGCTGTGCTGGGACTCTGCATTCTTGGGGGTCCACCTGAGAAACTGCTTTTTGGCTCGCCCCGTCTATTCTCCCAGCTGCCTCAAATTCAAGGCATTGAGTTGGTCAACTACTGTGGCCAGTCTGCACTCTTGCTAGGTTCCTTTCCAAAGTGCTATCCTGAGGGGCGGAACAAACTCTGACCCAAACTAATTTTGTTTTTACTAGGATGGGTAGAGGAAAGGACTCAGAATAGCAAATTTACCTCAGGGATATTGTCTGGACTTAGAATCAGGAAATAAAGGCAATTTCTTTGTAGAGGACACCTCTCTGTTGCTCTCTGCTCCAACTCACATCTACGCTTGGTGAGTACTGCCCAGCCTGAGAGCTTAGGTTGCCTGACACAATTCTTTTAGCTGTTTTACTCCTGTCTGAGTCTCTTGCTGTAAGTTTTCTGCTGGTAGTGTTAGAAATTTTTTCCTTCTTCAGCCCAGACTGTTCTACCAACTGGTTCCAGCCAAGGGTCTGTAGGAAGCCCTTTTTTTGAACATACTTTCTTCTTCTACATTGCTACCGTCCTCTGTTTGCTGTCAATTTGTGAGTCATTTTCCCACAGAGTTTTTTATCAAGTTTTTCAAAATATAAACAGATACAGAATGAAAGCCCTGATTTTTTTGGTGCTGATTTACTGGAGGTACAAATGTAAGATATGTGTATATATGGTATTTATATATAGTAGAATATCTTGGACAGAGAAAGCAAACTGGTTTTAATTATGAGCCCCTAAAGAAAAGTCACAAGGCAAGTGGTCTAAGCTGCAGGAGTTTCTTTTCAATCACACACCTTCTCACATACTGATCTCTAAAGCATGATCCAAAGTGAATAGCAGAAGAAGTTTATTGAACAACGGTAATAACAATAAGGATGATATTGATGTCTATCATTGATTAAATGCCACCTGTGGACCAGGCACTGTTCTAGTGACTTCACCTATATTAATTCAGATATGATGTGTAGTTATTAGGGTTCTCATTTTAGAAAGAGAATACACAAGCTCAGAGGGGTTAAGTTAATGATACCTACTCAATATGCCTAAGGAGTAGTATACCAAATACACTTGAAAGTGGAATTGGTATGTAAACCAGCCTCAGGGTGTTTTAGAGATTACTAATGAATTTTATGGCTTCCCCCTTTGGGGCTGTCATTTAGAAGGAGGCTTTCTGTTGAAATCTTTTTTTTTTTTTTTTTTGAGTTGGAGTCTCACTCCTTCGCCCAGGCTGGAGTGCAGTGGCATGCTTGCTCAAGGCCACCCCAGCGTTGAACTTCTGGACTTCAGCAATCCTTCTGCCTCAGCCTTCCGAGTAGCCGGAACTACAGATGGATGCTACCACTCCCGGCTATATTTAATTTTTTATTGTAGAGATGAGGTCTCACCAAGTTGACCAGGCTGGTCTTGAACCTGTGGGCTCAGGCAGTCCACTTGCCTCGGCCTCCCAAAGTGCTGGGATTACAGGCTGAGCCACCGAGCCCGGCCTCTGTTGAAATCTTTATCCCTTTTTTCCAGGTTCCTTCTTCCTAGCTCCAACATTTACCCTTTGAACATACTCTTATGCCAGAGAAAATCACATATGGTACTGATGTTTGGATAGATAACTTCCAACATATCATTCTGTTTGTGATGTCTTTTCTGCAGAAACCCTGTGTCACCATGATGCACCCCTGTGGCCTACTAACCAGCCAACATGAGCCAGGTAAGCCGAATTTGTGACTCTTACTTGCCGTTGTATCGTTGGCAGCTAGAACAAGACTCAACCTACAGGTGGTATTCTATTAAAGCTTGTTGAACTCTTGAATTCTGGTCTGTCCCAGTGCCACTGAAGAGTATCTCTGTGAGCTTGTCCATTTATGAGTTTGTGGCTGGTGTGTCTGCAACCTTAAACTATGAGAATGAAGAGAAAGTGCCTTTGGAGGCCTTCTTTTTGTTCCCCATGGATGAAGACTCTGCTGTCTACAGCTTCGAGGCCTTGGTGGATGGGAAGAAAATTGTAGCAGAATTACAAGACAAGATGCAGGTACTAGAAATAAGTATAGTACCTCCTCTCTTCTTATTTTCTTAATGCACACTGTTTGGGATCGTTATCAAATGCAGCTTCACAAAACAAGCTGATGCTGAAAGCTCTTTCCCTTCATTCCCTTCTAACTGCTATTTTTCTAAAATCATTTATGGGGAAAAATTCTATCAGAGGCATTCAATTTATAGCTGTGAACTTGACAAAACCAACCACAATCCCTCTGTCCTACTCATCTCTTCATCTATCATGCCACCTTTTATGTTACCTTTCTTTCCCAATCCTTACCCTGTTCTCTTTAGGCCCAGACCAACTATGAGAATGCTATCTCCCAGGGCCACCAGGCTTTCTTGTTGGAGGAAAATGATAGCTCCAGGGATGTCTTCTCTTGCAATGTGGGGAACCTCCAGCCTGGGTCAAAGGTGGCACTCACCCTGAAGTATGTGCAGGAGCTGTCGCTGGAAGCAGATGGGGCCCTGCGCTTCATGCTCCCAGCTATCCTGAATCCTAGATACGTGCTCTCTGGTGAGTACCTCTCTCCTTTGAATACCAGTGACAGGTAACATAATTGGGGAAATCTTAAGGTTGTGAGTGTGCTAAAAAGTATTGGCAAGGAAGACAGAACTAAGGTAACTTTTTGTAGGATCGCCTAAGGACAGTTGCCTTGATGTGAAGGCTCCTATAGTCCCATTGGAGAAGCTGCCCTACACACTCAGCATGGTCACCACCATCAATTCCCAGCATGGCATTGAGAGGGTCCAGTCCAACTGCCCCTTGAGTCCTCTTGAGTACCTTGGAGAGGATAAGACCTCTGCTCAGGTAATTAATGAGAGTATTATTGTTGCCAGTACCCCTGTTCCTTGCGTCTTGTCTTAGTCCTTACCCAGTTCTTCCCAGATGTTAATGCAAAAGGCATTGTACAGTGTTCCTTCCTTATCCTCTTTTTCTTTCTTTTTTTCTTTTTTTTTTTTGAGTTAGAGTCTCACTCTGTCACCCAGGCTGGAGTGCCATGGCACACTCATGGCCACCCCAGTGTTGACCTGCTGGGCTCTGGCGATCCTTCCACCTCAGCCTTTCAAGTAACCAGAACTACAGGCACATGCTACCATGCCCAGCTAATTTTTGATTTATTGTAGAGACGAGGTCTTCCCAAGTTGCCCAGGCTGGTCTGGAACCCGTAGGCTCAGGCAATTCACTTGTCTCGGCCTCCCAAAATATTGGAATTACTGGCTGAGCCACCTAGCCCGGACTTATCCTCTTTTAATGTCCAGGGCCTTCTCTCCTTCTTTTGCCTTTGCTCCTGATTATGTTCACTCATGAAAGAAGTCTGTAGCCCCCAGAGATGACAGGTCCAGGAAGCAACCAGTGTTCTAATGTGGCTCCTATGTATGTCCCCAACTCAGGTTTCCCTGGCTGCTGGACACAAGTTTGATCGGGATGTGGAACTCTTGATTTACTACAGTGAGGTGCATACCCCTAGCGTAACTGTGGAGATGGGGATGCCTAAGATGAATCCAGGTATTTCATTTCCCACCTTGTATTTACCTCCAAATGGGTAACTCTCTGTCTTGGAATGATTCTTACTGTTCTTTCCCTCTTTCTAGTAGCGGGTAAAACTTATTGATATGAAACATTGAAATAGCTTACACTACAGCATGCAAAAATGGTTAGGTTTAATGAATATCATGTGATTATGTCTTGTAGGCACATTTAAGTAGATCACTGGGTAAAGGGCCTGAGCAAATAATTAACTAGAGAAAACACAGTCAATCAGCATATGTGACAATAATCTGTCTTGAGAGACAAGCAAATAAAAATAAGAATATTACATTTTCACTTTTCAAATTAATGAAGATTTCCAAATCCACTGCTCATGCTTTCAAAAGTGTGGTGAGTTTAGCACTGTTATAGATTGCTTGAAGCAAGATAATTTGGTATCAACCTTTTGAGGAGAAATTTGGATGTATGTGTCAAATATTCACTTTGGTAATTTCAATTTTGGAAATTTTACTTAAGGAAATAAGTCAAACTAAAAGTATTCACTGAGATATTTCCTGACACTATAATAATAAATATTAATAACCAATCTAAATTTACTATGCTAGGTATATTTGGCATGTTATTATGTAACTACTAAAATAATATACATTGACAGATTGAAGCAAATGGGAAAAAAGTTCTCTAAAGAACATTAAGGAAAAGAAAAGTAAGTTATACAGATAGATTACCACTGTAAAATAATCTATGCATTAGGAAAAACTCTTAAAAATATAGGAAGTAGAAAAAATTCTTAAAAATGTAGGAAGTAAGCAAGAAGTAATTGTGATTAGATTAAGACTAAATTTAGCTTTTTTTTTTGAGTTGAAGTCTCACTTCGTTGCCCAGGCTGGAGTGCACTGGCATATTCACAGCCACCCCAGCATCAGCTTGCTGGGCTCCAACGATCCTTCCGCCTCAGCCTTCCAAGTAGGCAGAACTATAGGTGCATGCTACCATGCCCGGCTAATTTTTTTGATTTACCTTAGTGACAAGTTCTCACCAAGTTGCCTGGGCTGGTCTTGAACCTGTGGGCTCAGGCATTTCACTTGCCTCAGCCTCCCAAAGAGCCACTGAGCTGGCCTAAATTTAACTTATTAATTTGTCTTTTTAATCTAATAAAAATCAAAATATAATAAAAATAACATTGATAGATTGATTAATCACATCTACATGTAGTCTCACCTGAAGTGTTCTCTTTTTTTTTATTGTGGTAAAATATATATAACAACATTTACCATTTTAGCCTTTTTTAGTACATTGACCTTGTGCAGTCATCACCACCATCCATCTCCAAAACTTTTTTGCCCTAGTTTCATAATTTCTGTGACTAAGTTTAGCTTAAGAAGTTTAGTTTCTTAGTTTCTTATAATGTCTCTTAATTTCTACATTTTCCTTAATATATACTCACTATTTCCTGTCATTAAAATTGGTCTCACTCACATCAGTCTTTTGTGCTCTTGAGGCCTTCCCTTGGCTGCTCGGCCACTGGTTTCAAGGACCATGAAGCAGGACTAGAGGGTTACTGCCACTTCTGAAGCATTTCCACATAGCAGAATGAAGCATTCTTGGTGACAGTCATATTTAAAGTGACATGGCTTGGGTTGGGCTCTTCTACAACTATAGCTGTTGTGAAGACAATTCCCATTAGTTGGTTTTCGATAGGACACCTAACTCTCATTGCTAATGTGAAGCCAAAGTACCTTCATACTTGAGCTCATAAACTCTTTAGTTTGCTTTCACTCATTCAACCATTTTTCTCCCCTTAGGACTAGCTTCCCAAGCAAAGGTAAATTTATGGGGTCCCTGGAGGTGTGGCAGCATCGGCGATTATTCTGGAGAAATAAAGAGAAAGAAAGAGAAGGGGAGAGAAAGAAAGAGACTGAACTCTGTCTAGTGCAGAAGCCATTTAATGGGACAAACTGTAAACCTTTTATCCTAAAGTTTCACAAGCAAAATCACAAGATTTTCACATGAACACAAAGCCAGGTAGATGAGGGGTGTCCCCCACCCGCCAGGTATTTCCTCAAGCATGAGGAAGGACAATCCCAATATTATTTCACTGTTCCTTATGCTTGGTTAATGTTCCTCAAAAACAGTATAACAATTCTAACATCATAATATTCTAATAATCAATAACTTCTAAAGCTTATGCATACACAACACCTAATGACTAACTTAAATTCTAATACCTTTCTATTCTGTGCTAATTTACCTATACTATAGAAACTCTTAATTATAGCTTAAACCACTTCCTAAAGAATGTGGCCCAATCCAAAGATCACACTGGGCCATTTCTAGGAACAATTGATTACAAACTCTTTTTTTTTGAGTTGGAGTCTCACTCTGTCACCCAGACTGGAGTGCAGTGGCCACTCCCGGCCACCGCAGCCTCAACCTACTGGGCTCCGGTGTTCCTTCCAAAATGGCTATTCTAAAATCCTATATATCTATCTTAATGTCTATAAAAGTTTCTAATTTCTAATTCTAATATATAAAGCTGATCATCAGCAATAAAGCTTCTAAAATAAAACCCAAATACTAAAGACAAAAAACCACAATAGTAGAGAAATGGGAACAATGAAATTTCTAAAGTTAGCTGTATTCTATTAAACCTCAAAATATCATGTTTGATCATGCTTGAACTAACATAATTCACTAATGTAGCGTAACCTATTCTATAATACATTCTATGAATAAAATAAATTCAATTTCTATAATAAGAAAAAAACCTACACTAATTGTAGCTAAAAAACCGGTTTAAAAGAATGCAGCCCAGTCCAAAGTAGACACTGGGCCCTTAAGAATGTGGCCCAGTCCAAAATTCGTGCTGGGCCATTTCTGGTAACTCTAGATAATCATCTATACCATCTAAAGCTGAAAACAGCTCTCCAAATGTATATACTGATTCTACAAATATACTTTTAAATCTTATAAAGAAGCTTATGTCATATAAGGCTCCCGAATGTGACCTGAGTTTGAACCATAATTGATTGAAAGACCAAAACCACAGTCTGTGAGAAATGGGAACAATGGATCCGTAGAGTTAGCCATGCCTGTCGTACTCTCGAAGTTTCAAGCTTAGATCATCAAAATCGCTGCTAGTGGGACATGCTAAACAGCAAAAAAGGGAAGAGGGAATGGGCCATCAGCTCCTGAACTCATCCTAGTGGTCTCAGGGTCTGCAGCCTACCTAGATCCCTAACGCTTAGGTGGGCCTCCACGGCCGGCTCCCAACATCTCCCCCTTTTTTATTTTTTAGCACGAACCCATGGAACTCGGTATTGAGCTGAGAAATACTTCTCTTCAGCACTTTGAAAATAACTGGAAGTAGGCATAGCAACACAAGAATCACTGCCCCACAAATTCCCACTTTAATGAGTATAGACATCAATGACTTTTGGTTGATGAATGATGAAAAATTATTAATTATAGAACTGGCCAATTCAGAGGACCGGAACTGTTTCTCAGCAACAGTCATATCTTGAATTTCTTGGTGTAATTTAGTAATGCCAATACTCAGATCTGAGTGGTTCCAAATTCCTAAGATGTGATTTTTTATCTTGTCCCAAGTATGGACAGACTTATTTACCTCCAAAGGAGTGAGGCAAATCCATTTAAACTCAGAGTGACATCGGAGAGCCAATTTTATCTTTAAAGTCACAAGCTCTTGTCCTACTGCTAAAACTGCCTCCTCTAAAGCATTAACTTTACTTTCTAACTTTCGCTCTATAATTTCCTGAGTAGCTAATGCAATAGAAACATTCTTAGATAACTGATCAGCAAAGGTAGCTGTATGAACTTCCTTAGATAGAGCTACAGATGAAACTGTTACTGAAGTAGCAATAGCTATCAAAGTTGTAATTCCTAAAATTAAAGAAGCCAAAAATCTTTTCTGTCTTTCCAAAAGGGAACTAACCTCATACAGTGTCTGCAAACTATATTCATCATACCAACGAGATGACAAGTGTACAGGAATCATCAAATAAGGTGGCTGCTTAAGAATAACAAAACCTTTGTAAAAGGCATTAGTTAAACAATTGGTTAAAATACACTCAGTACAAGACACCTCATAAACATTGTTATGATACTCAATTTTAACAGTTTGGTTACTCATTCCATACTAAAAACACATAAGAGGACTGTAAGCATGCCCTAATGTGGTACTGCTGAGTTTGTCCAACAGGCCTAGACAGGCTGACTGGTTGAAGTGCTGTGAGGGCTCTCCACAAATGAGGCTGAATGGCTTGTCTGATTCCAATTTTAAATGAAAGTATTGGAGGAACCTATCTATTTGAGAGCCTTCCAGCTGTGACAAGCATAGAGCCATTAAAACCCCAGTCACTAATATATAGTCTTTCACTGGGTACAAGATAGTCTACCTTAGACTTATAAGCACAGTCTCTCCATTTCAAGAAGCCAGTATCTTGCTGGACGAATGACCAGTTCTTTTTCGTATCATTGAAGGGGCAAGCAGGTACACTGAGAGGTGGTGAAGCTCTAGTCGCATGACTAGGGTTGGTTCCTCTACGTATTGTCATCTCCAGTCACCAACCGTCCTGATAAGGGCTTTCTGTACTCAGAGACTTAAAGGTGGACATTAAGCAAGAAGCCTGGTAATTATTAAAAGCAGAATTATCATAAAAACAAATAGGGAGGGAGTTGAAATGCCCTTCATAAGAAAAATTACGATTAGTAACATGTTTGACTTGAGCACGAAATAAAGCAGGCCCTCCCATTTTCCTGTAAGGAGAGCCTTCCAATTTTATCAGAGGTTTTATACTTCCTTCTGGATTTCAATGTCTTGCCATAGCTGAATAGTCTGAAGAGTCCAAATTTAAATGATTAACAACAAATAAAGTGTGATTCAGGATGTGGTGAGAAGAGCTATACTTGAACTCCCCCCTCTTGTAACTTAATTGATTTTTTAAAGTTTGGTGAGCTCTTTCAACTATGGCTTGACCTTGTGGATTGTAGGGAAT